AATAAATAGTTTGACAAGATAAATCTTGCAGGTTATGAAATTTTATACATCTATCAATAAGCCCATGCCTGATAGTTAGCCCACCCAGATCCCATTACCTTAATCCCACGGTTGTTTGTTGTCTACTAGGGTTTATTACATGATGTATGTGGTAAGTTGAGCCCATTGCAGGATGTATACAGTAAATTTAGCCCACACTATCCCATCACCGATCATCTAGTTGTGTGCTGGTCCTAAGGGGATGAGCTAATGGTTGGTTTCCAAGAAAAAGGAGAGCAAACAAAAAATACTGCACTTTATACAACTCATAATAACACGTATACTATTAAAAAGAAATACATATATGAATAATAATGTAAATACCTACAGAAATTATATGTAAATACAAGATATACTCTATGTATGCTCCTGGAGGGATATATAGAAATGATATCTACATAGAAATAATAATTATTCTATGAGTGTTATAAAAATAATTTTACTTAGAAATTATATGTGAATGATGAACCATGACCTTTAAGAATGCTGAGGAAATGATAAATTTATTTACGGTGTAAACTGTGAAAAACAGATATTACTAGAAATGGAATATTTTGTCGGTATAACAAGGTCAGTGATTTTACAGGAAAAAGGAAGGCTGAGATAGATAGTGCTTGAACAAGGACACTTATAACAGGACCAGTAAAACAAGGCTGGTTTCCAGAGTACAGAGGCTTAACATACTTTACTGTAAGGGAGGAAATTCTGGGACGAAATCACAGTGACAGCATTACCAAATAAAAACAATTCGTTAGCTGTCACATGTACAGGTAAAACAGGTGAAATAGCACAAAACCGGACACAGAAACATGACTGATAAGCTAGGTAAACACAGAATTGGCGGGAAAATCTGGTAATCTGGTCGATTATGTTGTGACCCTGTGACCTTGACCCCTAAAGAAGTGCTTGAGTGGTGAATTGGATTATTCCATGGAGACACAGCTCCAGAAAGTATTGTCAGCATGTCAAAATTAAAGTATGTGAAAGGTTTACTAAATCACAAAATCATAGTACATTTACTCAACTTGCTAACGCTGTTCTGTTTGCATTTAACATTGTTTCCATATAAAAAAAAATAATCTTGTCAATCTCAAATTCATTCAATTTTTATAACAGTAAAGCTTGCCAGGCATTTGATTTCATTGTTGATTTAGTCAATACTGGAGCTTGTAAATATGACAAAGGAATAAATACTGGTGGATTATATTCCCCATTCACAAACCACTCCATTGAAAGCTACCCACCAACCATTTCCTCCTCCTTCACATGAATGGTCTAAGTTTGTCCTATTGTTGGAACTGTCCACATGATCGGTCAAAGTCTGGTTAGTTTATCTCCTTGTTAATGTATTAGGAAAAGAAAATCGTTTGGGGATCATATGAAATTAACCTACAAAGGTATTAAGAGTTGTTTTATGATCGTCAGTATATTTAGATTTGTATTGGAAAGCATAAATAAACCAGGTAATCATTAAAGATGAATGTGTTTGTAATGTTAAGTCAAGTCATGGAACACTTGTCTAAGAGAAGTTGAGGTCATGCTCCATGGGTCATAACCATTGTGTTATTGTCATTGAATGGCAATTGGGAATGCACTGTTGTTTGTGGTCAACAGATAATAGGCTGTGGTCAGTAATGTCCCATGTACTATTATCACTGGTCATGGAGTGTAATTGGACGATTCTGTGCCCTTGACCTTATCAGATATTTTTTCTCCACTGAGAATATATTGTGTAAGGGGATTACACTTAGCGTGGATTATCTGCTGACTGGAGAGGGTTTTGTCTGTGCAATCATTCAGGGGACAATGTTGACAAAGCTTTCCCCCATGTTCCTACTGCTAGGTTGTGGGGGTATATATAGCCTTGACAATGAGACTTGAAGAGTATGTAAATAGATGACAGATTTTAATATGTCCTGGAAGATCCACACTATAAAATACCAAAACTTGTCTTTGTTGTACGTGATTCCACCTGGTCGAGGCTTGCGGCTTTAATGTGTGAAAAAGGTAGGGAGATGAGAAATTTGACTTTGTGTAGAATTATGTCATTAATATATCATGTTTACATACCTAAGCTGTAATATATACCAGGTATGTTACGTAGCCTCACAGCTATAACACTGTCGACTGACTAGCTAGGGTTGTAAACCTACAAGGTATTCAATATCAGTGAGTATAGTATGAACTACATATTTTGTAGAGTTAAAAATTGATATTTTTATCACATGTGATCGCTATAATACACTATAATATTACATCAAAGTTTGGTGTTTGTCACAGCAGTATTTGGTGTCACAGCAGTATTTGAAGCGTGGTAGATCTAGAATGGATGATAAATTGTTAATAATGAAATACAGTATATTCATTTCGGCAGTTGCATAATATATGATTCATATTATCTAATAAATATGAACTACATACATGTAGAAGACACTGACACTTAAAATTAATATCATGTCATACAGTTTTATGACACAAATATCACAACTCGTATGTTTCTCATAATCATTTGATTGATCAATGTTTCTACTGGTGTTTGACAATTGTTACAATGTTTATACTGGTGTTTGACAATTGTTACAATGTTTATACTGATGTTTGACAATTGTTACAATGTTTATACTGATGTTTGACAATTGTTACAATGTTTCTACTGGTGTTTGACAATTATAACAATGTTTCTACTGGTGTTTGACAATTGTTACAATGTTTATACTGGTGTTTGACAATTGTTACAATGTTTATACTGATGTTTGGCAATTATAACAATGTTTATACTGGTGTTTGACAATTATAACAATATTTCTACTGGTGTTTGACAATTATAACAATGTTTCTACTGGTGTTTGGCAATTATAACAATGTTTCTACTAGTGTTTGACAATTGTTACAATGTTTCTACTGATGTTTGACAATTGTTACAATGTTTCTACTAGTGTTTGACAATTGTTACAATGTTTCTGCTAGTGTTTGACAATTGTTACAATGTTTCTACTGATGTTTGGCAATTTCAGAGTTTCAAAGTTTTTTCGCAGCCAGCCTGCCACTTTTTTTTAATATTAATGAGGTTGACGTCAGTGCGGGCTTAAACATGCCGTGCTGGTTGGTTTAGGGAAAAGTGCCGGCTGCACTTCAAGCCAATCACACCACAGGTCTTGGCACGCGGCTGACGTCACCTCATTAGTATTAAAAGTAGTGGCAGGCTGACTGCGAAAAACTTCCAACGGTACTAAGCATTTTCCTGTAGATAAACTAGAAATGTTGTTTTTGATGCAAGAAAGTTAGGTGGGTTCGACATCGAGATCTTTCCTCCCTTCTCCTATATATGATCATTGGGGATGTAATTTTTATGGAAAGTCAATCTAAATCCCTAAAACATGTAAAATTTCTCTGAACACCTTAGTTTAGGTCCAAATATAGCTGTAACAAATTCTCAGGTCCCTGTGGTGTTTGACAGTGACAACAATGTTTCTAAAAAAGCAATTTTCTTAGAGGGACAATGTTGTTTTGGGATTCAGTTCATTTATTGGCTTCAGGTCTAACAGCCCATCAGTTTCATGGATATCATTTAATGCATGCATGATTTCTGTAAAATACGATCATTTGGAGTTTTATTTGTTTCTGATGTAGCTAATTTAATGTATTCAGCCAATGTTTATGTTTGACCTCATATTTTTACAGGCACACCTCCTTTTTAATTGTTTGATAAATTGTTCTTTTTTTTAACTGCCCTCCTAGAATAATTCTGTGGCTATCTACTAAGTTGAGCTTGGTAATAAGTTGCTATGGTGACGAGTGTTGTTTGACAATTTCATTGCAGCTATTGACGATACTCAGAAGATGTTTTTATGGTACTATCTGTATCTCTCAACTCTGAACTATAGAAATATCTTCACATTTACTTCCCTCCGATATTTATCCTATTTATATGAATTACAAGCTACCTTCAGTTTTGGAAAAATTTAAGTTTCCCTTCAGGTTTTGTTTTCGTGATATTCATTATTTCCCCCGTAAGACTTTTTCAAGGTTGATGGTTATGCTGTAAAAAAGCGATGTAGAAGTCACTTCAAAAATAATTGTTGTTTTAACAGTGTCTTGTTAGCCATTTGTTCTGTGTTTCTAAGTTGTTGTTCTCCAGAAAGCAATTTCATGGTAATATTTTGCTGAATTATTGCCAGTTTGGGATAAATACCAATACAAATACATAGGTTATAGTTCTTTAGGTTATTCTTGGCTTCCACTCGTGTTGTAACAGGTTTTTTTTTGTTATAACTGAAATATCAGTTTATTTAGTTTTGAAGCTGGTTTGTAGAATTACCGAAGTTTGTAGGTGAACTATTTATTTGAAATAAAGAATTTTTCTAACAGTTTACTAATCAATGAATGACCTAAACCCAAGCGTTTTCTAAAAGAAATTCTTATAAAAGTCTGTTGACCTTTCCAAAAACGAAAATGTGTTTGGAAAAATCCCATAATGAACACTTGGGAATGATCTAATTGCCAGACTGTAGTACACATTATTTCTCTATCAGAACGACAACAAAGTGGGGTTGATATTTTACATATTCTTTTAGCCCATGAATAGAACAGAAATAAAACCACCGTAAAATATGAGCCTGAATATAGGACCTCATTATACTGCCATCTTTCATCAATTCGGTATACTGCCATCATTTATCAATTCAGTATACTGCCATCTTTTATCAATTCAGTATACTGCCATCATTTATCAATTCAGTATACTGCCATCTTTTGTCTACTTTTATACCACCATTATTTGTCTACCAACATTCTAGCAGCATAAAAGGTTAGAGTTACAGTAGATTGAGTCTTATGAAGAATTTTATTTTAGGAATAAGGAAAAATTTAACGTTGAAAACCAACGGTTATAAATGTAAAGCTGTTTTACAGTTCTGCTTTCTTAACAACGCTTTACCGATTCTATATTTTGTATGTTTCAGATGCTGTCTCCTGCCGTAGAGACTGCAGCACCCATGGGGCAGCAATTTTCAATGGATGAAGAGGGGTTAGGAACACCGGTGGGCAAGGGAAGTAACTCTTGTGGGGCCTCAAAGGAACGTACCAGTAACTCTGGACCTGACAGAGCTAGGGGCAGTGATGACAGTGGCACAGTCACAGCTGATGGCGGACCCTGTATGAAGGACAAAATTGACAACTTGATCGAAAATTATCTTCTGGGAAGAGACGACAATGATGTTTCAAATGATTCTGATGCAGAAGGTCGTTCAGATGAACCAAAACATGATAATACAGAAATTAGTATGAAGACTTTTGCCAATGAAAAATGTGTGGCAATTGACCCACCTAGGTCATTTGTTCGGAAGTTATCAGAAGTTGTTCAGGCGAAAAGTGATAGTTGCTTATCTACAAAGACTTCTAATGACACAGTCGCAACGGTTAAGATTGAATCCAAGGAAATAAAAACGGAAGAGCAACCCTCACAAGACACACACTGTGTAAGTCAAACAACCCCTTCTCCTATGAAGGGAGACTGTAAAGTTGAGGCGACCGAGGAGGTGGAGAAAAAGAAGAAACTGTCTGTAGACTCTAGCCAGAACAGTAATGTGACAACGTTTCAGACTTTAATAGAGAAAGTGTTAAATAATTCTCTGCCAGATTTGAATAAAGAACCAAGTGAAAAGACAAATATTCTTGAATTAAGTGATCAATCTGCCAGGCCTTCAAACACACCACCTGCTCAAGCAGGCATGACAGAGAAGGAACTCAACGACAAATCACCGCCAGAGCTAGGAGATAGCAGTGCTAAATCTTTGTCAAATTCTCAACAGCGACAATCAAACAGCATTGAGGATATGAGTATATCAAAACGCAAGCTAGTGTGCTTAAAGGACCATATTGAGAGAGTGTTGGAGAAAAGTTATAATAGTATTAATAAAAAGGATGAAAAAGATCAATTAGATGCTAACGAACGATTCAAAAACCAGTTGGATGAAAGTCAGCCTTCAGTATCGGCGACAAGGGTTGAGATTAGCCAATCAAATCCAGGGAAAAGTACAGACAGTAATGGATTTAATGCACAAGAAATGGTAGATACTGTGATTGATCAAACAAAAGTAGTGAATAAACTTTTGTCTCCTTCAAAGGAGAGTGCATCAAAAGGGGAGGTAATTGAACAGCAAGGAGAGAAAAGTAGTTCTAATCAGGAACAAGGACACTCCAGTTACAACCAGATGGGAAATAGTCCTGCAAGTGCCAGGCGACATGGTGAGAATGGTGCTGGGTCAGATATAGACAGGGCAAACACAAATTATAGTACTGATAGTACAAGACACTCTGAACAAATGAACAAAGCTCTGATGCAGGGCATGGAAAGACTTCAAACACATGTAGAGGAAACTGTAGCCAACCTAGGTCGCAAAATGATGGAACGACCAAATAAGGATGTGGAATCTTCTTGGAAGGAAATACATGACTCACCACATGGTTACAGTTCAGGATATCCACAAGAGCGCCACATGCGGCCCCATCTGCCATATCCCATTGATAAGACATGCATGCCATATCTTGGACGGCCCAATCCTCCATTCCACAGTGTTGGTGGTCCCATGCAAGGTGGCCCTATGGTTGGGGGTCCTATGAGCGGAGGTCTTAGCAGTGCAAACAGGCCACCAAAGGAAATGATGCCAGTCTCCCCACAATATCCAAACAACTCACATTATCCATACCCCGGCATGATGCATTCACCCAGTTTACCGCGACAGTTGTCACCAAGACAACCAATTCCTCAACAACAATCACCAAGGCAACCATCACCATCAACATCTTCTCAAGTGCCAAAAAAGATGTCGCCCAATTGTGACTCACGTCAAATGTATGGGCAGCATCATCAAATGCACCATATGGGGGCAAACCAAACAAGTCCCCATCATACACAACACCGTGATGGAGGGCTTCATCGCGATGGAGGATCTCATTCATCATCTTCACGAGAGTCTGGGAATCATGTTGGACATCAAATGTTACGAGAACATGCTTCCCATCATGCACCTGTGTCATTAAGAGACTGTGCCACACATGTGGGTGGCCATTCTCAAATGGCTGGAAGCCACAATCATCATCATCAACAACACCATGGGGCTAATGGCCAACAGATATCATTACGTGACTGTCAGTGTGCATCATGCGACTCAAGACAAGCTCGTAAACCTGACACAAAGGAGGGATATTCACAACATCCTGCAGAATATGGCTCCCTTAAACCTGGGCATATATCCAGTGGATCACCATACCACCCTCAACCTGCTACAATGCGACCTCCTGCAGCAGAACAAATGTCTCCACATGCAAATATGCAGAAACCTCAGGACAAAGATAACAACCCTAAAATGTCAGTTTCCTCTGCAATGGCACTCGGCCCCACTCCGCCACTTACATATTATCAACAATCCCAACAACAACATCCATTCAAAATGCCTCAGCTGTATCCTTCAAATCCACCTATTTCATCCCCGCGAGAATACAGCCGAATGATGGCACAGAATTCTCCAGGTGCAATGTCACAGGTGTCCCCACAGGGTGGTAATCCAGCGATGTGGAAGGCATCCGAGCGTGAATTGAAACAGCAGCAGCAGTTGCCACCATCTGTTGCTGGGCAGTTCTCTCCGATTACTCAGCACAAACTTCAGCAGCAGCAACAGCAGCAACAGCAACAGCAGCAGCAACAGCAACAGCAACAAACTAGTCCTCTACCATATCCTCCTTCTCAACATCCTCCCTATCACCCTCCGCATCCTCAACTCTCACCACATTATAAACGAGATGGTCCCAATAGGGGAGATAACTTCTGGACAAAGGCGGAGCCAGGCGAGGTTCAAAACCATGACAGCCATTATGGTTCCCATGGTGAACCCCCACCAAAGCCCAAGGATGTCCCTCCTGTCCTTGACCTGTCTGTCAAGAAAAAGGAGGAGGGGAAACCTACCGGGGATCAACCTCTTGATCTGACCTGTAAATCCCAGAAATCACAATCATCCTTGTATGACAATCAAGATTCACGTGAACGCGATAGAGGTGGTCTTCGTACCAATGTCCCATATAGTGCAGCTAATGACATGAAATTTAATTCTCCGTCGCGCAACACATTTCTTCACCAGCTTGAAAACAGTGTGCAAAGACTCATCCGGGAACGCAAGCCACCAGGGAGGAGCTCTGAGGGGACTGGCTATCATCCCCAACAGAGTCCACATCCAGTGGAACACCAGAGTCCAAAGCGAGCATTGCCACCACAGGTCAGGGGCCTGGAACAGGGAGCCAACCCTTCTTATACTGTTCATAGTCATCAAGATCACAGTCAAGGTCACCACCAAGCTCACAGAGAAAGAAGTTCTTCACACCCAATGTCTGTCGCTGCTAGTGCTAGTAAGTTGCCGCCACCACTAATGCCAGCGATTTATGCGCAAGGACCTAACAGCATGCCATACAACAGTTCCAGTCAAACACCGAGGGGGCCAGAGTTGTCTCCCCGTGGCCCTGTGTCACAGACAGACATGTCAACTGGACATCTCCAGTCTGTGGCCCAGTTACACGGAGGTCCAATGTCACAGCAACCATCACAGAACTTTCATCATCAACATCAGCCTACATCACAACAATACCCAATGCAAACTCCACCCTCTTCTCGTCAACAGGCCCATCAGAACATCAGTCAGAACCATCACTCTAGCTCCACCCAGCAACCATATCCACAGCAGCAGCAACAACAGCAACAACAGCAACAACAACAACAACAGCAGCTGCAGCCACCATACTCACAACAAAATTCTCATAATCAACAGCATTCATCACCAAATTTTCCACAACATAGAGCACATCATCAACAGTCACAACAACTATCACAGCAACCATCTCAGCAACAACAATCTGAACAACAGTACATGCAGCAAAACAGACAGGAGACGTCCTCCCCAAATGATGAACAATCACGACAAGGATCAAAACGGTCCAATGTGTCAAAACATGAACCGATCCAGAACATCATTGGTAATCACTCACCCAATGATATTTTGTATCTCATCTGTAGACTTTGTGGACAGACCTATGGTAGTCCATATGGATTCCGCAAACACTTCCGCAACCAGCATGGATTTGAACCTCGTGCTGAACACACAATTGTGCAGACAATTTCTGCCACCAAGCGAACATTAAATGCACCACCACAAGTGGGTACATACAATATACAGCAGGCAGCCTCTCCACAACAAATACCTCCACGACATCCTATGGAACCAGCATCTGTGGCACCTGTACCGCCTCAACCACCGGCCATCTTTGTCACAGGACCTAACACTCAAAACATGACCGTGCAACAATCCTCCCAAAATGTTCCTGCTGAAACTGTTAACACAAGTTATAAGAGTGGCAGAATCTCCTCCAGAGACTCCAATTCATCAAATTCTGAGCCTAGTAATGAGGACCCGTCTCCTCACAACATCAATATGAACGTATTGGTGGTAAAGGACAATGTACAGTCAACAAACAAGGAACGAAACACACCCAACGCCGAGCCAAGTCAAACCATCGAAAGTTTGAGAGACAGCGTTAAAAGTGAAATTCACAATACACAAAGTCCTACTGAACGTAAACGAATGGAATGTCCAGAATGTGGACAAACATTCCAGCTTAATGATTTTGGTTTGTTTAAACGTCATTGTCGACAACATGGCCAGCCAAAAATTCCTCGACAGCTTGGCTCTGCCGGCGAAGCTCAAGTGTCATTTTCTGACCAAGTTTCATCGAGTCGTGACCTAAATTCCTCCAGCCAGAATGAGACTGGCACTGATATGTCAACTGTGTGTAAGTTTTGTAACATCCCTTTTGCCACACCTTCCTTCCTACAAGATCACGTTTTAAACGTTCATCCAGATAAAACAAGAAGTCAACAACAACAGGAAAGTGACAGTAACCATAGTGATTGTCAAGACTCGGTCATAATCAAACCTTTAACGCCTTCTGTTGTCAAAAAAGTTCCCGCAGAATCAGCAACAATCAGTGTCAGTCCTGACAGTAGTTGTGAACCACAGTCTATACAGGATGCCAAAGTATCGGAGTCTTACGAGGACAGGCAAATGCCTGTCTTGAAGAAACAAATATCAACAACTAGTTCAGTAGAAAGTGATTCAAAAAATGAAAAAAATACTGATGATACAGACATTAAGATCCAAAATAGTGACTCACACAACGCAAAAAGTCCAGAAAGTGTTGATCGTCAGATAAGCAGCGAATCGGGATCGTTAATTGATAACACTGACGAAAAGTCATGTGACTATTCCATGGATAATGTCAGCTATATGCACAAGAAATTCAGTTCACATCGAAATAAGCGAAAACACAATGTGTCATCTGCTGATACAACAACAACAAACAAACAGTTAAAAATAAGTTCTGATTTTGTATCCAGTGCTAAAAGTCCAGGTAGTGTGAACAGTCCTAGTGCTTATTCTAGTAACAGTTATGACTCGGAGACTTCAAACATGATGGAAATCTCCTCAAATGAGGTGGGGGAAAGTGAAATAGGTTCTGAAATGGACGGTACAGACGACAAACATTCCAAGCTGATGGTTAAGATAAAATGTGGCGCAGATGGGATTAAGAACAGAGCTGAAGCTCGTCATCAGCTTCCCTTTGTTTGGGACCGAGTGACAAGGAGCCAAGCAGGCAAAAACATTCGACGAAATGAATTTCACTAATCAAGGATTATAACTCACTCTTATCAAATGGGATGTTACCGAGGTTCATCGAACAAGGAAAGGGAATTAAGTTACTGTTTCATAGAAAGGAAGTAACTCTGATTGTTAAAAATTACTCACTTTTAAAGGGAAGATAGTGTGTATATCATAACCCAAGGGAAATAACTCTTTGTGAATCCATCTTTTCTTACATATATAATTCTAACAAGAGATATCCGTGGATTATCTAACAAACAATTCTGACGTGCTAAAGCGATCGATTTGATAGTTTGTGGATGTTTTGATTGATTTTATATCTAACAAGGGGATATGTTGAATTTTGTTGCTATGTGATTTCTTTAAATTATTTATCGGAATTTGGATTATTTTAAAAAGGATTCCTGACATTCGTATATTGGATTAATGTGTAATCATCAGTTAAGTGTCATCTCAAGGGAGGCAACCTCTTTTTTCCTTTTCTTTCTGAAGCTATGAAAAGTGTGTGGGTTCAATAATTGAAGCCTGCAAAGCTCCAGATTGGATTTAATGTGAAGATTCTTGTTGGTTGAAAAAGGAATTTGTTAAAGAATTCCGGGGATATGTGCTATTTTCTGTTTAAAAATTGTGTAACCAGATAACAGATACTGCCAAAAACATGGAAAGTGATAATTTTCCTACCTAAATGTGGATTACTATATAAATTAGTAAGTGTCTGATACATTACCTATTGATGATAGATAGATATACATATATATATATATTATTGTGTAAATATTGTTATGATTTTTATGAGTGTATGAAAAAAATAGTCAAAGCACAATCATGTTGTTTACATGGTTAAATACTGAAATATACTCTGGTACATGTAGGTACTTCAGTAGGGCTAGATGTGTACTTGGCTGTATACTAAATGTATACTCCTGAACATGAATATACTCTAGAAGGGTTAAATGTGTACATGACAGTATACTGAATGTATACTCCTATATATGAGTAAACTAGAGTAGGATCATGTTGTGTACCTAGTAGTATACTGAATGTTTGCTCCTGAACATGGACACTCTCTGGTAGGTTAGATGTGTACATGGCTGTGTGCTGAAGGTATACTCCTTAACATGGACATTCTCTTGTAAGTTAGATGTGTACATGGCTGTGTGCTGAAGGTATACTCCTGAACATGGACACTCTCTGGTAGGTTAGATGTGTACATGGCTGTATGCTGAAGGTATACCCCTGAACATGAATATACTTCAGTAGGTTTACTGGTTAATATACTGAAGATCGACATATAAAGCCTTTTTTTTTCCACCAAAGTTTGAAAAAAAGATTTTACGATGCAAGTGCAGGAAATGACAGGTTCACTGTATGGTCATGTAAATCAATTTGTCAATATATTGTATACAGATAAAAGTATGTACTTCCAGTACACTATTATAATATGCTGAAAGTATACTCATGTGTACAATTTAAAACTGAAAGTATACTCATGTGTACAATTTAATACTGAAAGTATACTCATGTGTACAATTTAATACTGAAAGTATACTGCTGTGTACAACTTAATATTTAAAAATTCACTCCTCCAGCAATTGAATACTAAAATTATACTCCTGTACACAATAATATACTCAAAGTATACTCTTCTACACAGCTTAACACGTGGAATATATATTCATGTTTACAGTTAATACTGAAAGTATACTCCTAAACATAAGTTAATACTGGAAGTGTACTTTTTAACAATTTAATATTGCAAATGTATTCCTCTACACAATTATCTGTACATACTTAATGTATACTGCTGTACAACATACTGAAACTATACTGTACAACTATACTGAAACTATATTCCTATACACAACTTTATACTTGGGAGTATACTGTTTTTACTTTAAAATTCAATACTCTTGTACAGGTTATACAGAAAGTTCCTGTACACAACTTACAACTGAAAGTATACTCATGTACACATCTTACTACTGAAAGTATACTCCTGTACACAACTTACTACTGAAAGTATACTCATGTACACAACTTACTACTGAAAGTATACTCCTTAACATAGCTTCAACTTGGGAGTATACTCCTAAACATCCATTCACACACTGGATTCCTCAACAACCAGTGAGCTGCTGCGACGTACCTACGATTCAACGAACGAAAGACCAGTAGAGTTGTTTTAAGATTGTATACATTGTCCATTTTCAAGGTTGAAGTTTTAGGCATTGTTGTGTGAATGTACATGTGTGGGTGTATGCATCGGTGTGTTTGTGTGTTTAATCCATCTTTTTGACAAATCTTGTTTTAACAAATTTTTGAGATGTTACAAATAGATAATCTGTTGATTATTTATCAAGCCACAGGTTTGGTATTTTGTAGGATATCACTGTTATCATCAATGTTCTTTGTTTTGTTAGTCATGTCCTACACTAGTATTGTTTTTCAGTCATGAAATGACGCATCGCATCCTCATCCCCATTACTTACACATGTTATCGTGTGCTGTGACAGTGTTCACTTTAATCTTTTTCTGAGAATTACTGCTTTGAAGCGGTTCAATCTAGCTGCAAAGTTGCAGGCCAATATTTAGCTGCTTTTTTACTGGGTAATTGTATTGCAAACATTTCAGTCTATGTTTGCAGGAAATGAATGCAATATTGTTTATGATAATAGAACTACATTGATAAAAGCATGCTTAATCATGCTTAATTCTTTGTTTATAAATTCATTTACAATTGAATTTGTTATCATTTATAAAAGTTTTAGGCAGTAGTTAAAAATTATACTTTTTCCTGAAAATCAATGAGATATTTTTTTTAAATGTTTTGAAAAAACAGGAAAGACTACTTAACAATTCTTGTTAGTGAATAAAATGTTCCGCCTTGATGCTGACACGAGATCCATGTTTCTGAAATTTGATTTGAACATGTAATTAGTCTAATTATAGTAAATGCCATAATTTCTGTTTAGAAATTAGGTTTGAAGCCAAGCCCAATGTTTAACGCAGGTGCCGATGATCATTTCATGATTATTGAGTCACATTTTGAGGTCGCTTTTCTCTGAAACGAGCAGAGTTTACCATATTTGTCTTGGAAAATTTCATTAGGGGAATAGGGCAAGGTTAATTGCCTTCCCTGACGATGAAAAGGTATTTCTGTCACATATAGGTTTGTAAATGGAGGGTTGCTGTTCTGACTTAAATAAAAATCACTTAACAGGGTTAAATGTTCACCTCCACAGTGACATGAATTTGATTATACCACACCGTAATACTTGATTTATGGCTCAAGGGGAGTAACTCTATGAAATTATATAAAATTTAAACCTAAATATCTTAAGATATAATAATCCTCAAATTTTACATATCAGAAAATAGCAGTGTGTATATAATACTTGTAATTTCCCTTTAGTGTCTTGCCCAGTTTCCTTGATGAAAATCTTAATATGCTTTATATATAGATTTGTTACCAGCTATTTCACAGATTTGGTTTAAGGTAGCTATTGATACTGACTCTTTTGTTAGGTAATTGAACATTGAACTACTGACGTCTTGCTTTTAACCCTTTCACCCCTATGTAACTTTCGTAGACTCTACCAAGCATTGATATGGATGAGTCCATTATGGTTTACAGTGGTGAAAGGGTTAAACTATGACAGAGAAATTTCTATACATAACTTTTTCTTTCATAAACTATCTTTATCTGTGCAAATGAATTCGGTTGACCACCTAAACCTTTAATGCTACAAAATTGGTGCCACTCAATACACACTGGTCTTAAACTGTTGTGATCCAAAGAGAAATTGAAATTAAAAAAAAGATAATCTTTTTGTGCATTACTTAAACTAGGAGTGCCACATTCCATGAAATAATTGCACTGCAAGGTTTAAAATACAACATAAAAGGTGTGTATTTGTATTGAATCTGAACTTTGATTTCAATGGTACAGAATAAATAATGAGACATTTGAGAGACATTTTAAAATTTCTGTTTAATGAAATCTAAATTTTTGTTAAGAACGTCCTTAAATTTCCTTTTTAGAAAAGTTTGAGTGCATTTGTCAAATCAAATATGATACTGTTATTTTAAATGTGTTGAAAGTCGAGGCAAAACATACAGACTTCAGAAGTATGTATTCTTATTTTTATTTTTTTGGGCGATTTAAGCATTGCTCTAATTTATGATTGCTCTATTCAAAGTTTCTGTATATATAGTTTTGAATGGCAAATATTGGTAGTTCAGTAACTCATCATTGATCTAACCTGTTAAAAAAAAAAAAAAACTAAATTCTGAGTCTGCTAAAATAAGTACTCTAACAGTTACTATAAATGTTTAGGAAAAAAGATATTGTTTCATTTGTTTTATGAAATTATGGTGCATTGTATACGCATTGTTCCACATTTTTAAGATGATTTATCAAGTATTACTGTTGTAAGACTCTCTTCAGCAGTTTAGTGGACTGTTGGCAGTACCAAGTTACATTAGAACTTATTGTTGTACTTATTCATGTTTACAAATGTCATATTTTTGCATGAGTAATTTAAAAATGGGTTCTCACTGATTTTCTGATATCATTAACGTGTGATGTGTAAGTCATGTTGTAACACACTAACACCAGATATAATACCATGGGAGGGTTGGGTGGCGCAGTGGGTAATGCACTTGCCTTTCACCAAGGCAGCTGGGGTTCAACTCCAGTTTCCTCCCACACTGACTCTTGGCACACTAACATGTAGGCCAACACACGTGGTTAGTGTCAGTTGGAATAACTTGTTTCATTATTGTTGTAAAATGAATAATGTTTATATATAATAGCATTCATAAATTAATGTATTATGAAATAATGCTGTTTTTTTTTAAAGATTCTAAATCCCATCCCAATTGGCTGTAAACTAACCAGTGGCTCATGGTGTCTTTGTTTATATAAGGCTGGTCTATTTTCAAATCCAAGGGTTCTCAACTTCTACCTTGCCTTGACTTGTGTACAGTCTATATATGACCACAGCTATACATCTTACCTTCAGTAAATAGGATGAGCCTATTAATAGTTTAAAAGATGATATTTATTTGACACCCAGTAAATACAACTACGTTATATGAGCCTTTACAAAGTCTGAAACTTATATTTTTAATTCTAACAGTAACCTTTAGAATTTTCACCATTGGTGATATTTATTGGAAGTTCAGAACTTGAATGTTTGAAAAAATAAACGCTTCATGTCAAGAATATTGCCAGAAATCAGTGAGAACCTAAAGAATTATCATAAAACCAGGCCTGATGAATCTGACACTTAAACAACTTTCTCCCATATCTGCAATAGCTTAGCAACTGTGTACTTTAATGTGTTCTAATAACATGAAAAGAGTTTATTATATTAGCCACTTCACTACACATGGGATTAATGCTTGTGTGTGTTTTTGTCAGTAGATATTCTGACCTTTTGATCAGACTGCTTTTTCTCAGCAATGTCTGCATAGGGAACAGTACTATTCCTGAGCAGTTAGGTGATTAAATCACAGAGTGACATTCAGTAAAGTAGCATTTTAACATATAATTGATGAAACTACAATTGAATTACATACAAAATTTTCTTTTTCATTTCCCTATTTGATCCATGAGGCTTTAAGCAAAAAATGTGTACTCACTTGGATCAAGTTAGTGATAGTTCTATGTTTTAAGTATCACACTTAAGGGAGTTCTGTGTTTAAGTGTCAAACTAGAGAGGAAGTAGTGTTAAAAGGTAGGAGAAATCTTCGTTCAGCTATTTACAAGGTATATGGAACTCTATGAGTAAAAACCAAACTAAAAAGAAATCCTGTGTAGTATCAAACTAGATAGAAATTCAAAGATGAAGTTGGATGGAAAATCTGGATTCAGGTATCAAACTATATGGAGTTCTATTTATAAGAATAAAACTAGAAGAGAATTTTGTGTTTAAGAAACAGTGAAATTACATTTTGAAGTGTGAAACTAGAGAGGAATTGGTTTAAATATCCGGTGTAAAGAGATTCTATGTTAAAGTATCAAGCTAGGGGGAATGGTAATACATATGTACAACTTGAAGATAATGAAATGTTTTGAAAACTCGAGTTATATAATCTACATATTTATGGACTTATAGATAGACAGACCAAGTGATGACTATAGGGCATAGAATAATTAACTATATCACTGTCTTCTACCTTATAAAGATTCCAGCCCCCTCCGAGTGGTCGTAAATCTTTCGTTCTCTAAATGATCTTGTTTCATTGCTTTTAACACTAGGCATCTTTCAAAGCACACACATAGGCTGGAACATCTAACACAAGAAAAAATTTGAAAGAAAAATTTCAATATTTTAAAAATGATAGGCTGGTAATGCAAGTTTGATAGCAATCATAATAAATTGGTTTTGATCACTGGGACTTTCTGATATCAGACCGGTCTAGAAGGTGATTTTGGTTGTTTCTTAGAGGGTTCTAATAAAAAAGGTTTCTTTTGTAAAGGTATATAATTTGTATAGAAACATTGATCATTGGTTTTCATGGGTTCAGCATATCTCCATGTGTTTATGTTTTTAAGATTTATGTTTCAGAATAATGGCAGCTTAATATCAGTAACCGGTAAAAACTTAATTTGATATTGTACCAGACATAATTCATCTTCAAATAGGAAGATCATGATTTAACTTAACGTTACGCAATGTTTGTTTTTATTTCTATTGCTGTTTATGGTTAAATATCACATATTTTTTTTATGAAATTAAAATTTTAATGAGAGATGTAGTACAGTGAAAATCCTTGACCTGTTACATTCTTTTATAATGTCCTTAGTGATGACCATCACCCACCCCATTTCTAGGTATGGTTGTAAAACAACTGTCATGAGAGTTGTTAATTAAAGTTTTTCATTTTATTGAACAAAATTAAAACATAAAAATGATTGAAGGTGCTAACATGATGATTTTATAGGATAAGTGTTTGTACTGAATTTACAGAATTGAGGTGTTTCATTGTTTCTGTTTTATAGAAATGATACCTGGCAATTTACACTCACCTGTTGACAAGGCAAGACTTTTTTATGTAGTTATTATTTCTGAAAATATTCAACGAAATTATTAAACTACTGCAAAGTTGCTATAGAAATTGTGTTTCAGTTTATGTAGCCTTAAGATATCTTTTTCATATAATGACAAATTGAACAAGATATCTACGTATAAAAATAAATTTCCTGAAGAAAACCGGTGTACTTTTGTTAATCAATTGAATTTTGATTTCATTTGTTATTCATTTTTAAATAGAAATATACTCAGAATTTATAAATTAGAATGACAGAGCATGTTTTTAAGGAAAAATAGAGTTGTATATTAAGTTTCAGATGATTTACCTGATGTAGGAGGTGATCATCAACTTTTATAAATTCCTGTTAAAATTTGAGAGCCTTTTTTATTTCAATCGTAATAACAATGAGATATATTGTTTGTATATCATTGATGATCTGAAGAATTTACTTTGTTAGGTGAATTCTTGCTGATTTGTTTGTTTTTATCTTATTATCATTATTTTCTTGTTAAAATTATAAATGGCAAAATGAAATACATAGAATATTATTCATGGGACAATCTTGTTGCATTTTGAGAGGCTTCAAAACTTCAAAATGTGTACTTAAGGCAGATTCACCGATAGTGTGAATCTGTTTTAATTACCATGGCAAAAATATCTTTAAAAAATAATGCTTTCTGTCTTACCAGTAGAGAAAAATTAGCAGGAATTCGTCTAAAATCCCAAGGTTTTTTTCTTGAATCAAAATACATATATGAACAAGGGATCGCAGTACGGAAGTTGTCATTATAAAAGATGTAAACTTATTGGTGTCCTCAGAATGAAACATTAAAGAATTTATAAATATATCTATTTAATTGTTACAAGGTATGTTTTGTAGCTTTCCTATAATTAGACGTAAGTGTTTAGTTATAATATGCATGTATTACTTGAGATACCACCTAACTAGTCAGGTTTGGGGTGAAATATGTACAGTGACTTTTCCAGTCCATGCAAGACACATGTTTAAATCCTTGAAATGCAAATTTTTAGGTACTAATTTCTCAAATAGCAAGACTTTGGTGTAAATTGCATCATATCTGTGTTTGTACATGTTTGGAGATTAATGGGCAGATAATTATATTTATATTATGAAATAGTTGACAGATGATCATCTGTCCCATTTCACTTTTAAAATTAATATTGAAAAGAAAAGAGATTTTGTGTTGTGGTGACGTATGGACAGTTGTGTGGACTAGATTTTTATTGTGATTCTATAATTGTGATAAATGTTTTAACACAAGACTAAAGCTATTGATATCATATGTATTACAAAAGTGTCACTTGCATATATAGAGGTTATAACAGTAATCACAGGGGCCGCAGTAGGGCTTAGTAGGAGAAAAAATTACTCAAAACTATTTTATTAGTTTGACAAGTGATATTCCCTTGTTATTATGACTAGCAATGAAGGTAGACAAACTACACAAATAATTAATGAGATGAAGAGGCAGTAATAAGTTGGACCATTTGACCCTATGACACATTTCATGTTTTTAAGCAGTAAGAAATATATCTACATTAGAGTCTCGATAATTCTGCCATCTTCCTCTGAGAAAAAGGGGGCTTACACTGGATGAAAATAACACTAACTAGAGTTATCTCCCTTACAAACTTATTACAGTTATTCCACTTAACAAATCGTTAGCATGTCTTAAAACTAAAATTTGCTTCTTGTTATCAATACATGTATTCTTTGCCTACTTGTCAAATGTGGTGTGGAACCATTTCCAAATTACTATTTGCAAAAGACATGATTTCAGATGTGGACCTCTCCAGGAACGGAAATATGTTTCACTGTTTCGACTTTATATCTGTGCATACTGGTAGTGTGATCTTCCAGATACCATTGCTTTTAATTTTCTGACATGGTTGATTTTAACACCATTTGTCAAATAACATTGTTAAAATGATTTAATTAAAGAATTTGTTGTTAAAATGAATTGATTAAAGAATTTGTCACAGCTTCTAAATTTGTATTGACAAAATTCTTGTGTCATTGTTCAAACTAGCTATTTTTCATCCGTCATCTCTATTGATAGTCATGTGGTCAGTCATATGGGTAGTCAACAGTTACCAATCATGTGGTGGATCATGTGATTGGTCAACATTTATCATTCATGTGGTCAATCATTTGAAATGGTCAGCATTTATCAGTTGAGAGCACCAGGTAACTGCTGGACTGGTCAAATTCTATGTATTGTAAAATGGTAAATAGAATATTCATGGTGCTAAAAAAAATCCATTTTTTTCATCGTATCATGATATAGTTTTTTGACCAATGGTCCTTTTTCTTCTGCATTTTAAGACTTGCCTGCTTTAGTCCTGATTTCCTTTAGAGAGTTCTCTCTCAGATTAACAATGTGCTTGTTATCTATATAGGTATGAATACTACGTGTGAATTTTAGGCAAATGTGGTTGTTTACATGTGTTGAGTGTGTTTTAAATGTTTAAATGTAGAAATTACTGTTATATGTAACACAGAATCCTATAAATTATAACTATTAAACGTTTCATACAATGAAAAAAAAAAACTATTGCTCAAAGCAAAAATGTCATCCTTTAAAAGAATTTTGTTTTTGTTTTTAATACAATGCATTTATCACTACTTATATATGTGAGGAAATTGTTGTATATTCATTTTTTGCTTGCCAAAGGCATTCATCTTTCATTTCTTTTTGTTTTGTTGGACGATTCTATTGGGATGCAATAAAATTGTTTGTAACTGAACTTTGTACTTGTTTTAATTCGACAGTTTTAGACTTATTGTATTTTCAGAATTTTGTATAACCTGACATTTGAACTTTCTTATACATCAAGCGTATAGTGAATCAGTACTAAATTCAAAAGTAGACATCATCACTTAACACATGACTTATCACCATTATGAATAAGAAGCAACTTTGGGAGAAGACCCAGCTTGGTAGATTAAGCTTAGAATGCGAAAATTGATAAAATTTTAGGATACAGCTTTTGTTTTCAGGATAATTTTGACTCGCACGATACCAGTGCCGATTCGGAATACTTAATAACATTACACATCACATAAGATCTTTATGAGTTTCAAGATTTAAAAATCTTATTATGTGTTGCTTCAATTCATGCATTATCTAAAACAAAACTAACATTTCTCAAATTTAGATATCCCAGGGGAATCTTGGCACTCACCATTGTAAGATCTTCATTGTTCCATGTAAGTTTGATCTCATCTTGTAATTTTTGAGTAGAATATTTTACTGCTGTGTTTGAAATAGTAACACCAGAGTTTTCTGATATCTGACCGTCACATTTTGCATATGATCAAGCTACTTGAAATGAAACTAGAACACTGACAGGTCAGTAAGGGCCCCGTCTTGTGGCAATATATCCCCCATAATCATCAAGAAGCAATCTGCCCATGTAGCTTAGCTTGACGTTTGACATTTGGACTTCAAAAAGGATCGCAAGGAAGCTAAATATACATTTTACATGTACTATGATGTGCGACTTGTTTTTTTCCACCACCATATTTGCTGGGCTAACAGAAATGTAAATACCGGTGCAATACTCATTTGTTAGCCTTGATTTGTTTTATTTCACCTCATATACCTCCTCCATTAAGAGCCAGGGTCAAAGTCAGAGATCCACTTTGTCTTTGACCTTCAGACCCAAATGACCTTGACCATTAACCCAGTGACCCTGATCTTTGGTCAGTTGACTTATTCTTTAATTCCGACCAACTCTGCTTCATAATATCATAACAAAATGTCCATCAGTGAAAAATATAAAACTTGACTTTGACCCTTTGGACCCCGTAACCTGGACCTAAGGTCATTTGACTCTGTGTTAAGTTCTGAACAAGTTTGCTACATAATAACATAAAATGACCTTGACCTTAACTCAGTGGACTCCTTTTTAAATTCTGACCAACTTTGCTTCATAATGTCATAACAAAATGTTCATCAGTGAAAAGATACAAAATTTGACCTTTGACCCAGTGACCTTGCCCTTTGGTCAAATGACTCATTGTTTAACTCCCAGAAACATTGCTTCAAAGTATCATAATGAAATGTTCACCAGCAAAAAAATATTAAATTTTACCTTGACCTTTGCCCAAGTGACCTTGACCTAAGGTCAGTTGACTCTTTGTTAAATTCCGACCAACTTCGCTTCATAAAGTCATAACAAAATGTTCATCAGGGAAAAGATACAAAATCTGACAGTGACCATTGACCTGTGGTCAATTGACTCCTTGTTTAATTCTGACCTACATTGCTGCATAATGTCATAACAAAATGTAACCTTCGACTTTAACCCAGTGACATTGACCTTTAGTCAATTGACTCCTTGTTTAATTCTGAGCAACATTGTTTCAAAGTGTCATACCAAAATGTTCATCAGTGAAAAGATGCAAATTTTGACCTTGATCTTTGAACCTAATGACCTTGACTTTTTACCTCAATGTCTATTTTTGTGAACTGAACATCTTGACCAAGTTTCATGTACATCGGTCAATAAATACCAAAGTTATCAGCCAGGAACAAAATTTGTGGACGGACAGACAGACAGACAGTGGTTACTATAGGGCACCCGTATCTCCGATACGGGGCCCTAATAATGCAAAACTATAAAGAACGGGAAGAACATCTTAACTTATGAAATTTGAGAAGTATCTATAGTTTACTCTCTAAGAAATAGCTTTTTTTTTTAAATGCTTCAACAGTCATATACAACTTTCAAGATTTCTGCCTGGTGGACACTTCCTCTGGAAAACAGCACAAACAAATTTCAACAATCAAAATTCAAGATGGCTGTTGGGCAGCTGTCGTGTTTTTCCGATCAGTCTCAAAAGTTATAAAGTGAACAACTAAGAACCAAGGAGAATCTTTCATATGAAAGATCGATGGACCACGGATGAAGGTCAGCTCAAAATGTTTGATGAAGGGCTAAAAAGTCTCTTAGATTCAATTGAAAAGACTATATACAGAAGGTATAAACTTCAGTCTTGACAGGACACTTCACTAATAAAAACCCATTAATTTAAAGAACTCACTTATGTTATGACTTATCAGAAGGTGCATCAACATGTAATTCAAATTGCAAACCTGATTTTATCATTTGTTGACTTTGTCTAAAAGGATTTACGTGTACATCATGTAGTTGTCAAATCAGCATCCAGTACCGAACAAAGCTAATATCAATGATTAACAAAACATGGCTAATCTCAATGTTTTACAGTACATGGCTTATCTCAATGTTTTACAGTACAATGCTAATCTCGGTGTTTTACAGTACAATGCTAATCCCAATGTTTTACAGTACAATTTTAATTTCAGTGTTTTACAGAACATGGCTAATCTCAGTGTTTTACAGAACATGGCTAAATTCAGTGTTTTACAGTAGAAGGCTAATCACAATGTTTTACAGTACAATGCTAATCTCAATGTTTTACAGTACAAGGCTAATTTCAGTGTTTTACAGTACAAGCTAATCTCAATGTTTTATAGTACACGGCTAATGTCAGTGTCTTACAGTACATGGCTAATCTCAATGTTTTACAGTTCAATGCTAATCTCATTGTTTTACAGTACAATGCTAATCTCAATGTTTTACAGTACACGGCTAATCTCAGTGTTTTACAAAACATGGCTAACCTCAGTGTTTTACAGTTCAATGCAAATCTCAAAGTTTTACATTGCAATGCTAATACAGTGTTTTGCAGTACAATGCTAATCTCAATGTTTTACAGTACAATGCTAATCACAGGGATTTGCAGTACAATGCTAATCTCAATGTTTTACAGTACATGGCTTATCTCAATGTTTTACAGTACAATGCTAATCTCAGTGTTTTACAGTACAAGGCTAATCTCGATGTTTTAGAGTACAATGTTAATCTCGATGCTTTACAGTACACGGTTAATCTCAGTGTTTCACATTACAATGCTAATCTCAATGTTTAACAGTTCAATGCTAATCTCAATGTTTCACAGTACATGGCTAATCTCAGTGTTTTACAGAACATGGCTAAATTCAGTGTTTTACAGTACAAGGCTAATCACAATGTTTTACAGTACAATGCTAATATCAGTGTTTTACAGTACAATGTTAATCTCGGTGTTTTGCAGTACAATTATAATCCCAATGTTTTACAGTACAATGCTAATCCCAATGTTTTACAGTACAATTTTAATTTCAGTGTTTTACAGAACATGGCAAATTTCAGTGTTTTACAGTACAAGCTAATCTCAATGTTTTAAAGTACACGGCTAATCTCAGTGTTTTACAGAACATGGCTAATCTCAGTGTTTTACAGTTCAATGCAAATCTCAAAGTTTTACATTATAATGCTAATCACAGTGTTTTGCAGTACAATGATAATCCCAATGTTTTACAGTACAATGCTAATCTCAGTGTTTTACAATACAATGTTAATCTCGATGTTTTACAGTACACGGTTAATCTCAGTGTTTCACATTACAATGCTAATCTCAATGTTTAACAGTACAATGCTAATCTCAATGTTTTACAGTACCATGCTTATCTCAATGTTTACAGTACAAAGCTTATCTCAATGTTTTACAGTACATGGCTAATCCCAATGTTTTACAGTACAATGATAATCCCAATGTTTTACAGTACAATGCTAATATCAGTGTTTTACAGTACAATGTTAATCTCGGTGTTTTGCAGTACAATGATAATCCCAATGTTTTACAGTACAATTTTAATTTCAGTGTCTTACAGTACATGGCTAATCTCAATGTTAAACAGTACAATGCTAATCTCAATGTTTTACAGTACATGGCTAATCTCAATGTTAAACAGTACAATGCTAATCTCAATGTTATACAGTACAAGGCTAATCTCGATGTTTTACAGTACAAGGCTAATCTCAATGCTTTACAGTACAATGCTAATCTCAATGTTATACAGTACAAGGCTAATCTCGATGTTTTACAGTACAAGGCTAATCTCAGTGTTTTACAGTACAATGTTAATCTCGGTGTTTTACAGAACATGGCTAATCACAGTGTTTTACAGTACAATGTTAATCTCGGTGTTTTACAGAACATGGCTAATCACAGTGTTTTACAGTACAATGTTAATCTCGGTGTTTTGCAGTACAATGATAATCCCAATGTTTTACAGTACAATTTTAATTTCAGTGTCTTACAGTACATGCCTAATCTCAATGTTTTACAGTACAATGTTAATTTCGTTGTTTTACAGTACAAGGCTAATCACAATGTTTTACAGTACAATGCTAATATCAGTGTTTTACAGTACAATGTTAATCTCGGTGTTTTGCAGTACAATTATAATCCCAATGTTTTACAGTACAATGATAATCCAAATGTTTTACAGTAAAATGCTAATCCCAATGTTTAACATTACATGGCTAATCTCAATGTTTTACAGTACAAGGTTAATCTCAATGTTTTACAGTACAATGCTTATCTCAATGTTTTACAGTAAAAAGCTTATCTCAATGTTTTACAGTACAAAGCTTATCTCAATGTTTTCCAGTACATGGCTAATCTCAATGCTTTACAGTACAAGGCTAATCTCAATGTTTTACAGTACATGGCTAATCTCAATGTTTTACAGTACATGGCTAATCCCAATGTTTTACAGTACAATGATAATCCCAATGTTTTACAGTACAATGATAATCCAAATGTTTTACAGTACAATGCTAATCCCAATGTTTAACATTACATGGCTAATCTCAATGTTTTACAGTAACAT